TCGTCGCTTCGTAGAAGAAGACAACTAGAAGCGCGAGGGTGTAACGTAAAGATCGCAACGTGAACGAGACGACGCTGCCCCCGGGAACGAGAGAGAGCGAAGCCCGTGGCCGAGAACAAGGACGGCGACGGCCAGGGTGCAACAAGCGTCCGCGGACGTCACGCCGGGCAAACATGAGTGAGCTAAACCCGCGGCTGATTGCGAGGCTCGATCTGTGCGTCGCGAATCGCACAGCTGAGTTCGCCGGAACGGGTGAGTGAGACTCCATTTATTTTTAGAAGGTTAGCGTTAGAGAGGATGTCGAGGGTGGAGGAGGGTCGTGAATTCGTTGAGCTCGATCTTCGACAGTGAACAGGGTAAAGGTTTCGAAATAAGGGATAGAAGAAACGTCTCCGCGAAATCGTCAATAGTACGGATTTAATTTCTCGTCATTTGCTGTTTTTATAAATTATATAATTTCAATTACGCGATGAGAAAATTTATTTCACCGAATAAGCCAGCGACGTTGCGATCAGAAAGCGTTCAGTTTTTACGACGCAATAATATTGCAATAAATTGAATAATGATGTTATCGAAGACGCGGGTGTATTCCAGATTTTCTCTTGTGTCTTAAAAATCTCTATTTTATAAGATTTATCTTGACACACCGCGTTCGATATTAATAATTGAAAGAATGTACGTCACGCACCTAACTTTCTTCCTGCGACGCAATAACTTTGACTAAACACGTACGTGTATACATAGGTATGGCAAGTTTGCAGTAGGTTTTCCGCGAGATGCGATAAGAACAAATAGCGGAAAAATTGCGTCTTTCATTGTTTCGCATATTTAGAAATCGCGAAGAATTTTTCGTCAGATTTCTCGAGAAGAGAACACAGTGTATATAACTATATACTTTTACGCAGGAATCTCGCGTACAAAAATCTCGATTAAATTCTGCGAACGTAATTCGCGTGAAAAATCTTTTTCTACTATTATTCCTGATTTATAAATTGCACAGAGTTGTTTACGTCTCGCGTCGCGTATTTCGTAATTTTTTTCTGTCGAGCTTCAAATTTTAAATTTTCCTCGTGTCGATAAGAAGTTAGGTCGGCGAATATAACAGCGCACATTATTATAGTGTAATAATGTGTGCTATTTTTCAAAACTTTTTTAAATATTACCTTCGGGCGGGGGGGGGGAGGGGGTGCGAAGGATGAGAATATTCTGCGAAACGAGTATCGCGTGATAAAGAGTTTCGTGCTCTGCGAAGTACTCTCCCCGCGTCCCCCAATCTCCATATTCCATATTAATTAACCAGTTCTATATTAATTAAGCATCTACTAACATTGTTCGAATATAGCTTTGACTTGCTGAGGAAGAAAAATTTTTCATTGCACAAATTTTCAGATATGCTATAATGAACTTTGCGTTGATCGTTACATAATTAACGTTTATAATTTGATTTGTCAGCGTTGAAAATCGCGCTCAACGAAATTATATCGTTACCGATGTTATGACAATTCATCTTTTTTTAATATTTTGTTTGATTACACACGGCTGAGCGTTGAAACTTTTTATATATCTGCTATGAGCGCTGCTTGCATGCAATTTTAATCAAGCTTTATATAGCGATGATGTGTGTTAACCATGTCCTTTTTTAATTATCTAAAAGTTAAGGAGCAGTTTTTATCGTGTCTAACACAAATTAAACTATTTTAAGCTCTATTCTTTACACAGAGGAATTGTAGAAAAATGCATCCATACATTGATCGAGTAAAAAATCTGGCCAAAATATTTCATCAATAAAATATATAAATTAGAGTATAATCAAATGACAGAATATTTTAGCTTGAAATCTAAATTAAATTAAATTAATTCTTATAAAAATTCCTCATATATATTTTCTCTTTAAATAAAAAGAATCGAGATACGATAAACACTCGTATTACTTAAAAATCGATCTTGACATTCTTTTATCTTTATGTTACTCTGTCTTACTTCTTTATTACATATGATTATTACATGATTGCAATCTTAAAATTAACGACAACATGTAGTATTCGATATATAAAGAGCACTCTTAAAGGCTGCGGGTGCAATTACGAAATCATATGGGAATTCTATTATATAATTCTATCTTTTTGTATTCCCTTTTCTCAACATCTTTTTTCTTAATATATCTAAATAATCTTTTTTTTTTTAATTTTTTATTCTTATATTTAGCTACATTTTTCGCTTTGTGCGAGCCAGTTTCTTTTGAATTTTGATTATAGTTTGAATAAAATCAATTTTTTGGCGATTGTAACTTTCGATGAAATTACAATTTTTTTAAACCGAACGATCAAATCATAATTTAATAATATTTATTTCATATAGATTTAAACAATGATAAAGATAAATAGAAAAATAAATAACAACATTCGGATCAGCAGTTTTTAAAAAGATACATAAAGATTGAAAAATATGATTTTATAGAAAAGCATTTCAAATTTTTATCGTTTATTTGAAACACTTAAACATATCCAGAAACCGTTTTATACAGCTCAAGATATTTAGAGAAAACTATCAACGTTTCTTTAAAAAAAAAATTAAAAGAATTTTGCTACTTTAGTTTTTTTAATGCACTCGCCCCTTAAAACGATGTACGCTTCAATATCCACGAGAGATTTCAAATCACCTTAAACGCACGATAGGCACGCCCCTACGATATCGTTCGCATTTCTTGTGTCGCTCATTAATCGCTCATTTATCGTTGCCAAGATGTACGTCGGAAAGCAAAGGACATGGCACACCTGTAGATACGAAATGCCGGACTAGCGTACGCGCGAGAGAGCGAGTGGCCGACCAGTAGTGGCAGAGCAAGCGAGAAGACAGAACAGAGTAGTGAAGAGAAAGGGTAGAGAGCAAGTACGTAGAGAAAGAGATACTCGAAAAAAAAAAAAAAAAAAAAAAATTGCGTGGCGCAAAAATCTCGCGGAAAAAGAGAGAGAATGAGTCACGCTCAACAGCATGTGCTTGCGAGCGCGATAGTTCTCGCGCTGTTAGTGGTATTCGGCATCCACGTCTTCCTGTTTCCCATGTATGACACGTCGTCTCCGCCGGCACGGCACACGAAGATCTCCGTATACGAGCAGGCGCTCTGTCGCACAACCCTGAAGACGTCCAATGTCCGGGCACCGGCGCCCGAATGGCGCAACAATCCCTGCCCTAAATACGGCATAGTCTCGGCGGTGCAGGGCGGAAGACTTGGCAATCAGATCTGGGAGTACGCGTCCGTGTGGGCGACCGCTCGTAGGACCGGCCTGGAGCCGTTCATGCCGCGCTGCATCCTCAAGACCCTGGAGGAGCACTTTGAGAACCTCAGCATCCCGCCTCTCAGCTACATCGGCAGGTGCACCCTGGACGTCGGGCAAGTAGTCAACTCGCTCAGTCAGTGGAACAGTACAGAGCAGAACATCATTATACCCAGGTTAGCCTTATTAAGGAGATTTTAAATATCACGAGTTGATTATGAAAGATTAGATTAAACTAATTATCGCTGGTATACATATATTGGCGCGCGGGAAATGTAACTAGAACAAATATTGGTGTAGAATAGAATGAAATAAGTTTAACTCTTGTTTGGTTTTAATCTTCATATATAAATTTGTGAATAAAAATGAAAGATAAATATACACTCTTGTATTAGACATGCGGCTTATTGGTCCTTGATACTGGTCTGGCTGGACGATGTACGACGGGAATTCACGTTCAAGCCGAGTCTGAGGATCTACGCGGAGAAAGTATTGAGACGCGTGGCGGAGAAGTTCAACCTGTCCTCGCCAACTTACGTCAGTGTACACGTGCGTCGAACCGATTACGTAGATTATCTTTGGCAGAAGCTGAAGACGCGGCCCGCACCGGTAAGTTACTACTTGTCGGCGATGGATTATTTCGCCGGCAGGTACGGCAATGTTGTCTTCGTAGTGACGAGCGATAATATTGCCTGGTGCAAGTATAACTTGCGTAGCAAGCGTCACAGAATCAGTTTTGTGTCGGATAACGATGGCAAGGGCCCGGGCAAGGATCTAGCGGTCTTATCCGCGTGCAATCACAGCATAATAGATTACGGCACTTATGGCTCGTTCGGGGCCATTTTGGCCGCCGGTGAAACTGTAGTTTACAATGTAACAACATACTTTTCTACGCTGATCGCCGACGTTCTACCAAATTGGAGGATAATGAGTTGAAAAACTTGAGAATCAAAGTTTTCGAGTATAAACAGAGAACATATTTACGTTGCATCATTTATATACATTTTTTACGTAATTGCATAATTTTTTTCAAAAAGCGACATGTGTATTATTTTGGGGAATTTTTAATTAATTTATATAAAAGAAAATTTTCTAAGAATCTATTATACTCGTATCTCTCTTTCATTATCCAAATTTGCAATTCAATGTTTAATTACTTTATAAATTTTTATCAGATCGGAAATACTTGCTCTACATGAAAAATCATCGTATATTATTTAGTTCTGCTGTCTATGCAAATATGGTATAACTACATGAATTAATATAAACTACATGAAAGTGTATATCTTGCCTTTCTGCCGCCTAGATAATATGTATATAGTATATTCATCTTTTCTTTTTATTTATCATACAAATGCATAAACATCTTGCCAGTAGTAAAATTCAATGAAAGTGTGTGTTGCTACATTACATTAAATTTTATAAATGTAAATGCATCAAAATGCGCTTAGTATTACGCGCATACATATATATTACGCTCTTATTTAAATTTAGTGTGCGCGCACGAACTAGAAATCGATACACCTGTAAATGTAGCGAGCGAGGAAACCTTTCAAGGAACTCGCGAGGAAAAGGTTTACAATGGAACAATGGACCACTAATATCTAAAATTAAAACAGATGCTTATTTTTTCTACGATTCCGATACAAACTCGATACGGCCGTAAAAATTTAATGAAAAGAAAACCAAAAAAAAAGCGTAGAGAGATATCGGCTATCCTTTTCGAATAAAGTGGCGATCGAGAGAGCCTAATATATTAAAAAAAGAAACATGCGTACGGATAAATTCTACATTTGTGCAGAGTGCTCAGGACTGTATCTGATTGATGATTCTTTAACTTTGACGTGAGATCTTTCCCGAAAACTGGATTTTCTGATATTATTTCATAATTTATATCGTTTTCTATAACATATAGCCTAGTATCGTGGAATTTCAGATTGATTGTGTTTATACGTTTCAATGTCTATTTCATATCGTAGCGAACGTGCAATATAAATACTTCACGAAACCGATATATATATTGACAACCATCTCTATAAGTCTTATAATGTACAATGATTTCAACTGTGATTCTATTTCTTATTGTGCCAAAATTCTTAATATACACATAAACATATATATATATATATATATATATATCTATACAAGGCGTTGTATAATATTTACAAATCTGTGAACAAATGATAAATTATTTCTTCACTTAACCGTTAAGTATTACAAAGAGAAAAAAAGTTTACAGACTACTGCGCGAAATACTTTGCGGACGGGGAAAAATATTTTACATATAAAGCCAGTGTTTGAAATTTATTATAACCATGTGACCTGATGTATCTGACCTACAGTGTTTTACAAGTTAGACTAGTCAGTGTGTCTAATATCTATATGTTATTATCTATATATGGATGTATCTTCAATGTATTTGTTGCCTGCCAGTTGTTAGATACCTGACAAAATGTTGAAGCGCAAAAAAGAAATTGTGCTATTAGTAATAGAATTATATGATAAAAAAATGAACCGCGAATAAGATTTTTCATTTAGCCAATGCTAACTGTGACAAAAAATGCGATTACAAGCAAAAAGATAAATATGTATCCGATATGTTGTGTGTATCTGATGATAAAAATATAAATAATTACTGAGACTATACAACTTCCAGGCATCGGTACGATCTACTCTGTACATTCTCTGTGATAATTTTATGTAATTTTTGGAAACACGCGTAAGCTGAAAATGTATTCGTTTTACAGAATAAAAATACTCTGTGTCAAAATTATATGTATTAATTATATTAAAAATTATATGTTTCAGTGTTTCTTTCAATAAGAGAGGTATCGCTACATCCATCAATTCGCATATTATTGATCATTCTGTGTAGTATCAAACTTATCAAAAATGCTCATAGCCCTTTCATTAAAGTGTGTAAAAACAGTAATAAAATACGCCGCAATTTTCTCAGACAAGGGCATATAAAGTTACCACAAAAATTGATTATATATAAATAATTATAAAATGTATATTACTGATTCACAGTAACAAAACTTGTTGGACCTAGGCCCAATTTCGCACCGGCTATCCTCATTCTCAGAGGCTGAAATCCAAGTTCAGCTTTGGGAATTCCATATTCTTGCAATTTACTCTCATAAGTCGCTAATAAGTCATCGTGTGCTTTGCAAACTTTTGCCAATTCATATTGCAGATCTTGTATTGCAGTATTTTTTCTATTAAGCATATCCTACGAGGAGATGAAATGATATAACACAGTCTTATGCGATTCAAATAGATCGCAACGAGATCATGTTCAATGCATACCTCTAATTTTTTATTCGCATTGATTACCGCTGCAGGATCTAATTGAGCTGCGGCCAATACTTCGCTGATTTGCGCTTCTCGTTGCTCCAGTAACTCCGATAATTTTTCTAATTTTTTCTCCAAAAGGACATTCTTCAAACCCGTTTTCTGTTGCAATTCGAAAATAGCCGAGACAAATCTAGAATGTAACTCGTCTCTCTCGGATTGACACTAAAACGGACAAAATAATAGTAAAAAGATTTCTGTTCATGTATTGAAACTCTCTTTATGCTTATATGTTATTATTTTACTTTTTCAAAACGCAGTTCGAGCACTTCATTTTCCCATTTTAAATTTTCTAGATCCTTCGCTACTGTGGACAATCTCCGTTTCGTACTCTGCAAATATCGTTAACTCAATTTAAATACTTCCATTTGTAATAAAATCGTTGTACAACAAAGATACATTTCAGATATACTAACAGCTAGAATTTGTTTATCTTTCTCATAATTTGTAAGCTGACGGTTAAGCTCGGAAGATGTTTCTTGCAAAGATTTTAAATCAGCCGAATATTTTTTATTCTCCATTGTCAATTCTCGCACTTGCTTTTTCATACGTTCTTCGTTATTTCTCATCGCTTCCATTTGTTCCTGTTAAAACATTTGCCGCGTTAATTGAAAATCTTTTCAGATCATTTCCTCTTTGCAATTGCGAGATTTAAATACAACAGAGATAACAGACTTCACCTTCATGCTTTTAATTAACGATAAATTATTGAGAGTGATATCATTGTAATAATTTTTCATCTCGGCAAACGCATTCTCGTGATTTTTCATCAAATTCGCAATTTGCGCGTTCTTTCTCTCCTCCACTTCTGTAATTTCCATTCGATGCTTCAATGTTAAAGACTCGTATTGACTGGTTAATTTCTGTTCGTATTTTTGCTCCAATTCTATCGCTTCAGATTCGAATTTTTTCATCATGTTATTCATTTCCTCCGAATGGTGCTGCATTTTATATGTATACAAAAAGCAGGGATTTTTTTTATTAAAATTCAATATATAATTTTCGGCAAATTGTGTTACGCGTATATCTTACCATCTTCAACGCTCGTATCTCATTCATGTACTCCAATTCCTGTTCCTTCTGCGTTTTCTTGAGTTGCGTTTTGTCTTTAATAAGTTCGTTCTCTTGCGCAACGTGATCGTCTTGCGCCAATTTGAGAGCAACCAGATGCTCGGCTTTACTCTCGGACAAATTAGTCTGATGCTCGTACATCAAGTGTTTTACTTTCTGCTTGTATAACTTGAGTTCGGCCTCGTGTTTCTCTGCCAATTCCTCTTTCTCGCGTTCTTTATTTCTATACGCAAATTATGCAAACACATTTATATTGTATTGGAAAGAGCATCGGCAATCAAGTTAAAGATACCTGACTGTAGCGCGCGCTTCATCCAGCTGATGTCTTGTAATTTCCCAAAAAGTTCGCAATTTATCTCTCTCTAATTGAAAGAAATTTCTTTCCTCTCGTTCACGTTCCATTTCTTCTAATATCTTATGAGCATATATTTCCAATTGCTCTCTATTCATTTTCGTTGTATCCACTCCATCGACATTATCCATTGTTTTCCCTTTTGCCTTTTTGGGACCCTTTTCGTCATGTAATTTTTATATATAAAGAAATATATTAAAT